TGTGGTGTGTTGGGAGGTGGTAGGTGTGGTGTGTTGGGAGGGGTGGGTGTGGTGTGTTGGGAGGTGGTAGGTGTGGTGTGTTGGGAGGGGTGGGTGTGGTGTGTTGGGAGGTGGTAGGTGTGGTGTGTTGGGAGGGGTGGGTGTGTTGGGAGGGGGAAGGAGTGGTGTGTTTGGAGTGGGAAGGAGTGGTGTGTTGGAGAGGGAAGGAGTAGTGTTTTGGGAGGTGACAGGTGTACTGGGTTGATGGTAATGACTAATGATAACGTTTAAACGGATACTTTAACAGGTAAATCTTGGCCTCATGAAGAATGCATAGAAGAAGTGTCAGATTTAAAACTCCCTTTACCATATTACAATCTCTATACCCACCTGGGATTTATAGAGATATTGGAAGATATTGAAACAGTCTATTTTGTCAGAAAAATACAGTTAAAGAATGGTTAATAATAACAATATTGAGATGTCAGAGCCAATTGAGAGCTCTCCCTACAGGCTTATGTAAACACCTGACTTAAAGCTCCATTTACATTTTGTAAACGATGTATTGAGGAAGGTAGCGACAACATGCAGGAAACTACCACACTGGACTTAAATAACACATACATACATACATACATACATACATACATACATACATACATACATACATACATACATACATACATACATAAATACTTACATACATACATACATACATACATACATACATACATACACACATACATACTTACATACATACATACATACATACATACATACATACATACATACACATACATACATACATACATACATACATACATACATACAGGCTTTAACAATGAAATGATTCTACTAAGTATGACATACAAGACATTGTGTCACAAGGCATAGAGTTATAAGTCAGGCGTCTGTGTCCTTATTGTCCATATAACTGCCGGTGTTGTTGTTGTTGTTGTTTATGGATGTCACGGTCTTTAAAACGCAGATGGTGAACTATTGGCAGCCTGTACTGTAGATGTACTCTGGCAGCCTGTACTGTAGATGTACTCTGGCAGCCTGTACTTTAGGTGTACTTTGGCAGCCTTTACTATAGGTGTACTTTGGCAGCCTGTACTGTAGATGTACTTCGGCAGGATGTACTGTAGGTGTACTCTGGCAGCATGTAATGTAGGTGTACTCTGGCAAGATGTACTGTGGGTGTACTCTGGCAGGATGTACTGTAGATGTACTCTGTCGGTATGTACTGTAGGTGTACTCTGGCAGTATGTACTGTAGGTGTACTCTGGCAGGATGTACTGTAAGTGTGCTCTAGCAGCATGTATTGTAGGTGTACTCTGGCAGCCTGTACTGTAGATGTACTTCGGCAGCCTGTACTGCAGATGTAATTTAGCAGGATATACTGTAGGTGTTCTCTGGCAGCATATAATGTAGGTGTACTCTGGCAAGATGTACTGTCGCTGTACTTTGGCAGCATGTACTGGAGGTGTACTCTGGCAGGATGTACTGTGGGTGTACTCTGGCAGGATGTACTGTAGGTGTACTCTGGCAGCATGTACTGTAGGTGTACTCTGGCAGGATGTACTGTAGGTGTACTCTGGCAGGATGTACTGTAAGTGTGCTCTAGCAGCATGTACTGTAGGTGTACTCTAGCAACATGTACTGTAGGTGTACTCTGGCAGGATGTACTGTAGGTGTACTCTGGCAGCATGTACTGTAGGTGTACTCTGGCAGCATGTACTGTAGGTGTACTCTGGCAGCATGTAATGTAGGTGTACTCTGGCAGGATGTACTGTGGGTGTACTCTGGCAGCATGTACTGTAGGTGTACTCTGGCAGCATGCACTACAGGTATACTCTGGCAGTAGGTGTACTCTGGCAGCATGTACTGGAGGTGTACTCTGGCCTGTAGGTGTTCTCTGGCAGCATGTACTGTAGGTGTACTCTGGCATGTACTGTAGGTGTACTCTGGCAGGATGTACTGTGGGTGTACAGGATGTACTGTCAGCATATACTTTAGGTGTACTCTGGCAGCATGTCTATAGGTGTACTCTGGCAGCATGTACTGTAGGTGTACTCTGGCAGGATGTACTGTAGGTGTTCTCTGGCAGCATGCACTACAGGTATACTCTGGCAGCATATCTATAGGTGTACTCTGGCAGCATTTCTATAGGTGTGCGGCAGGATGTACTGTAGTTGTACTCTGGCAGCATGTACTGCAGGCGTACTCTGGCAGGATGTACTGTGGGTGTACTCTGGCAGGTTGTACTGTAGGTGCACGCTGGCAGGATATACTGTCGGTGTACTCTGGTAGGATGTACTGTCGGTGTACTCTGGTAGGATGTACTGTTGGTGTACTCTGGCAGCCTGTACTACAGGTGTATTCTAGCAGGATGTAGGTGGGATGGTGTAAGATATCACTTTGATAATGGGGAAAAAATATTGTTTTAGAGCCAAGGCTGGACCACAGGGGCCAGGTCACCACTACCTGTGGAAGGTTATGTTATACGTGTGTTGGAGCACACTGACGCTCTATATCTTGTGTAAAGTTAAAAAGACGCGTTACTAACCAGACAGAAAAATGGGATGTGTAAGGGAGGAAGAGTAGATGTTTGTATTTACACACGAGTAATACAAACATATACAAATTGGATAATCCACGCGTATTAGATACTCCCTCAATACTTTCTCGCAATATTTTTTTATCCGTGAACATAAATTATTACCTTTGTATCAGTTTTATGTCATTAACCTGGCGCTTAATCCATGTACCAGGTTTCTTTTCTGAAAATATGTCGTCACACAGACACGAGAATCCAATACAACAAATTATGTCAGGAGTTTGTTCTAGCAGTTGGAGGCGAGGCTTCACATACCTCCCGTTGTGTGTAGGACAGATGCTGGGCACTCCTCACCTCGCGCACTTTCAGTATTCCAAACTAGGAGGCCGTCCAGCCCTAGATCTAGATCTGGACGTAGTTTCTCCGGCTAGTTTCTGGATATTGGCACGATGGAAGTCAGCAGGAACTGCTTAATTGACCTGCCAACGATATCAGACCGCGAGACAGCAGGGCCGCGGAGTACCCTGATGGGTAGTGGTGAACCATGGAATAAGATCCTGTCAGTGTGTCTGGTTATCGGACCCAGAGATACTACCTCGTGTCTCCACAACCAACACAGTAAACGTACATGTACGAAATCATGTACACATGTACACATTCGTAAACACAAACTAAAATTACTAAGTGTAACTGTTTAATACTAGACGTGAGACAGAGAAAAGGAAATGGTAGTGGGTGTAGAATGGTTGGCTGGAAAATTGTTAAACGCATAGTTGAGAGCATCCCCCTTGCAGAAATACAATAATATAGCGCCACAGAGGCATAACAGGGCCCTTGGTCGGTGAAAGGTAGACCAGAAGCGCCAGAAACTAATGCTCGGATTTTTTTTGTAAAAACATCAGAATACTGTTAGGCAGGAGAGGGAAAGAGAGAGAGAGAGAGAGAGAGAGGGAGAGAAAAAAAGAGAAATAGAGAGAGAAGCAGGCAGTGTTGGAGACTGTTGGAGGAGAGCGTGGTGATGGCGGCAGGCAGGGAGGTGGGGAGGCGGAGTGGCACTGGGAAGACCGTAAATTTGGCGTGCCGGGCTCCAGCGCTCGAGTTTCCAGGTTCCAGGGGGGCCATAATTTCCATGAGCTGTCCAACTGTCCGGCCAAGTTCAGACGTACGGCCGCCCCACCTGCACGCTGCCGCTGCTGCCGCCGCCACTGCCGCAGCCGCAGCTAACTGCCGCTCGGCTCCGGGGCTGCGGAATGGGAAAAGTTGGCTGGTTGGGGATAACTATACGAGTTCCCTGCCTGGGGGAAAAAACGCGTAGAAATTGGTGGATGTTGCTAAGGCGGTTATATGTCTTTTTAGAATGAAAGAAAATTTTGCCCTGGATCGACTTTTATCGGGAGGACGAAAATGGCCAATACTTGCAAAATTGGGCCGAGTTCGGGTGGCGGCAGTTGCTACAGACCTCGGCGACCGGCCAGGGGACCTGGAAAATGTGGTAAAGTTATCATCCCGTAAGGGTTGTCGTAACAAAAGTGCCATGCCATTACTTTTCCATTTAACCCCACGCCGTAAAGTTGCTAGAGGAAATCATTGTATATAAACGAGAGTCCCTGCACGGGAGCTCATAATATTTCCAAGTTTAAAAAGGTGTCTTTTTTGTGGAATCTTTTTTGGGGGGGTCAGAATTTATGTGTACTTTATGCTAATCGTCTAACACACGACTTCATTCAATTTCCTCTTCATCGTTTGTAATTTAACTCTCTTACGTATATTTCATTTATCTTCCTTCTCCTTAACGCTTTTTTTACCCTTCCTTTTTATTCTCCTATCCTTGTCTGCTTGCTTTAAGGTCATGTTCTTTGTGTCTCTCTACTTCTCATTCCTTTCCTGCCTCTCTTAAATGTACTCATTTTTCCTCTTGGCCATCTTCTAGGCAATGTTAACAGGACCTCCCCTCACTCCCCATGGGCGGCAGCAGCAGCAGCAACAACAACAACAACAACAGCACCAGCAGCAGACGGTCTTGTTTTCACAACTGCCTCGCCGATTGAGACGCGTGTGATATTCACTGCCGTGTTTTTCCCCCGCCTTTCTTTCCCGCCGAGCACGACACGGGGAGCACCACTGGAAGATGGATTGTGGTGATCTTGTTGATCTTTCTGGGCCGTGTCGATCTTTTTATGGTGCAGCGACCCCGTGTCAACAGCCTTAAGACCTGGTTCCCCGCCCCTCCCTCCCGCCCCTGCTTGCTGCCACCAGGGATCCATCCATCCTTGGCCACCCTTCTTCGAGTCCCCCAAATTGGCTCTTGGATTTGTTTTTATTTCCTTTTACTACATCTTTCTCGGTGTTTCAGGTGCTGAATTGTTGTCACCATGTATCTATATTGATGTTGTGTTATAATATGTACTAGTAGTGCATAGGGGATTATAATAAAGGCTGATTTGCACCTTTGTTTGTCCAGGGTCCCTCGTGGGATTCAAGTGTTGACTCAAAAGGAGCTACCAAACACGACCAGACTGAATTCGCATCATCGGCGCTGCTGTGTTTGCCAAAGGTGGGTGAGAAGGGGGAAGGGGGCCCTAATTTACTGAGGGGAAAACTTATGTATTTTTGCTCATGTCAGAGTCGAGTCTGCTGGTGTGTTGATATTACCTTCCCAAGACGGTCATCACTCTATCCACAATACCGATATTAAATGTACTTATTGGGCGTATCAATTCCTTGCCTCTTTGTAAAAACTGAATGAATTTATATATTGAGTCAAAGCTCTAGAGTTATTTAGGTTATTTCTGGTGATCAGCGATAACAAACTTGATTATCAAATCACCAAGCTACGAGTATCAACAACGATGTAGGTAATATAGTTGATGTTTACGAAAGTTACACATGATATTAAATTCTCGAAAAGACCAATAATTGAGCATAATAAAAAACGTCAGACTTATAGGTAAAAGATGAACTTAGTTTTCTCTCAAAACCAGAAACTAATTACACCATTGAGGAACACAGAAGTGAGAGAGAGAGAGAGAGAGAGGCCCTGCCATACGTGACATATTAGAGAAGCCTTTCCATACGTGACATAGAGCCTTGCCATACACTACTATCTGTGAGCTATGCGGGTAGTGTGTGTAGCACCGCCACCCTCAGCCTGTAGGTGTTGTCAGTCTGGTATTTTTAACTCTCGGTGCCAAACATCGTGATAAAAGAGAATGGCGGGTGTGCCCACGAGCCAGCTCTCTCTACGGCTCACCTGTCTCTCCAACACCTAGCACGCCAACACCTAGCACACCAACACTGAGCACACCAACACCTAGCACGCCAACACCTAGCACGCCAACACTGAGCACACCAACACTGAGCACAACAACACCTAGCACACCAGCATACCAACACCTAGCACGCACGCCAACACTGAGCACACCAACACCTAACACACCAACACTGAGCACACCAACACCTAGTACACCAACACCTCACACACCAACACTGAGCACACCAACACACCAGCACACCAACACTGAGCACACCAACACACACAACACTGAGCACACCAACACCTAGCAGCACACCAACACCTAGCACACCAACACCCAGCACACCAACACAGCACACCAACACCTAGCACACCAACACCTAGCACACCAACACCTAGCACGCCAACACTGAGCACACCAACACCTAGCACACCAACACTGAGCACACCAACCCCTCACACCAACACTGAGCACACCAACACCTAGCACACCAACACTGAGCACATCAGCACCTAACACACCAACACTGAGCACACCAACACCTAGCACACCAACACCCTAGCACACCAACACACACACCAACACACTGAGCACACCAACACCTAGCACACCAACACCTAGCACACCAACACCTAGCACACCAACACCTAGCACACCAACACCTAGCACGCCAACACCTAACACACCAACACTGAGCACACCAACACCTAGCACACCAACACCTAACACACCAACACTGAGCACACCAACACCTAGCACGCCAACACCTAGCACACCAATACCTAGCACACTAACTCCTAGCACGCCAACACCTAGCACGCCAACACCTAGCACACTAACTCCTAGCTGTATGTGTGTTTAAACCGATGAGCGTGAACTAGAACTAACTACCTAGGTAAACAAATTGATAGACCGATGATCACCTAATTGATAATCAATGTTACGCTCTCATAGACGTTACCTAGCCATAACAGCCAATAAGTCACCTAGCCATACTAGCACCTAGGCCACACAGTCACCTACCCAATGAATCATCTAGCCAAGCAGTCACCTAAGCGAAGTCACCTACCTACCCATACAACTACCTTACCGTATGCCACCTAAACACTTGCTCTGCCCAGATAGAGATCAATTAAACGAGCTCCAAATTAAATGGATGCCTATTTAAAAAGTCACCTTGCGTCGGTCTTGAATCACCTATTCCTCAGCCAAACACACAGGTGGTGGGCCTCGCGACAACGGAGTCTGTGGAAGTAATCAGCCAGACGGTTCGATTTCCATCTGCTGAAATATCTGAAAAAGGTTCGTTTAATTGACACCCAAAATTACTTTATTAAGATATGAAAAATATAGATCATCTTAGATTATTTGTCCCGTGTATAATGATAGATATTATGGCAACACTTGCTTATGTCAGCTGTGTAAACAAGTATTACTCAAACTTTACTGAACAACTTCATCTACCTCACCTGAATGACCAACCGCCACTAACAAAATGAAGTGAATAACGTCACTAACAAACAAAGCTAATTCTAACGGTGACACCTTTACCTGCCGGCCGCACCAATGGCATTAAAAACGTTTCTGGTAATATATTGCTGCACGACGCACCTGCACCGCCAAGATGAATGATGGACTGATATAAATACACACTTGATTGTACAGTGTCGCGGGTACACCTTCTTTTATATATATATATATATATATATATATATATATATATATATATATATATATATATATATATATATATATATATATATATATATATATATATATATATATATATATATATATTTATATATATAAATATATATATATTATTGTTATAGATTCATGATTATTAGTGTATATTTGATAAATATTACATTATTATTACATTTTTACAATTAAAACGTCCCCCGCTGTCTTAAACTAATCAAACATTACCTAAATCAAGTTAGGTTACGTTATGCTACATGCTGTTCTCTTGTTGGTGTTACAGTGTTTGGTTTATCAGCACATGTTTGTTCTCACGTTCACATGACAACACCTGTCAGAAACACTGAAGTTATCCTTATGTTTTAATACAGTTATTCTTAACACACACACACACACACACACAATCTTTGTTTCCATGCAGTATCCAGGTGACGCGGTGACTGACTTTGCTGCACACGCGGTGACTGACTTTACTGCACACTCGGTGACTGACTTTACTGCACACTCTCCTCAGTCACTGAAACCAATATTCTGTTCTTAACTGGATCTTAATTAACATTGACAGTCTGCTGATCTTTTGCTAAGTGGTTGCTGACACTCAAACAGCCGCGAGGAGACTCCCAAGGGCCACTTAATTGACACTTAACTGGTGGTTGAAAGTCGTTAATGTAATTTGGATTACGTAGCATTTAGAGGAAGTGTTAATGTCAGCGTTGCAAAGTTTATTTGGGATAAACTACAGAATTATAGAACTACCTGTGCATAATATATTGTGTGAAGGTCATGTAAGTGAGTTGTCTTGTCTGCTGTAGTGAAATGCTCTTATAGACGGAAGACCAAAACTTGTCTACGTACTTAATTAAGATATAAGATACGGGTTATGTACAAGTGGATCCACAGTCTTGAAATATGTGACCGAAGTGGAAATATTTCTGGTTGGGAATTAGTAAATATCATTGTGATAAATCGTGAGTGATAAATAGAAACATTTCTTACATAGAGGCAGTGTTAATGTTTATGTTGTTCTTGTGTTCACTTGCCGATAGGTGTCCTGCAGGTAAGTTTGTTTCACTTAATCAGTAACTAAGAACATTTGTAATAATTCAAGGTGATTTAAAACGTGTAGTCTCTTTCTGTTCTTACTTGACCTCGTTCCAGATGTCAATTGTATATACACATCCTCGGCTTGTAAACAATCTATTTTTATTCCTTAACACATGTACACACAGATACACACATGTACACACGGATACACACAGACTAATTGCTTCTTGTTTTCATAAATCTATCATCATCTTCACATGTACACATTATTGGTCTTATGTACACACCCGTTATCTACATCCACACAGTGGTACACATACAGTGTTCCTTCATGTGTCTCGTGAGTCATGTATATACACAGTGGTACTTTGACAGTGTATACATGGTAGTTCTTCAGCCATGTATGCACAGTGGTTTCATGCCATGTACACATAGTGGTTCCCCAGCCATGAAAACACAAGGATCCTTCAAGCACGCACATACTCTGGTCTCTTCACACCTTCACACACACACATACATACGTACACAAAAATAACACATTACAAATGGACATGAACGAGTTCCGCACATGGACATGGAAGAGCCTTCAGAAATGTATACATGGGAGCCTCTACACATGTACACATAAGAATTGCTACACCTACATATAAAATCATCTATACATGTGCACATATGAGCCTTCATTCATGTACACATAAGAGCCACTATTCATGTATGTATAACAGCTTCCGCGCATGCACACTGGCGAGGCTGATGCAGTAGAAGACTCACTCATTTAATTGAGTGTTTTCGAGAGCGTGGCAGATTTGAGGCTCGGCTGGCACCGTGTCAAGGCACCAGGGGGAGAGGTCACCAGGGGGAGAGGTCACAGGGAGGGAAGGTCGCCGAGAGGGGAGGTCACGGTGTGTGGAGGTTTTAAAAAAGGAGGGGAGGCCACGGGGAGGGGAGGTCACGGGAAGGGGAGATCTCGGGGTGTGAGAGGCCACAAAGATATGAGGCCACTTTGAAGGAAGAGTGAGAGGAGATGGTGAATGTACGGCGAGGAAGAGTGAGAGAGCTAAAGAAATAACAAGAATGAGAGATAAAGTGAAAACGCCACAAAGAAGAATGAATATAAAAGTCAAGAGAAAAATGTGTAAGGATGAAAGACGAAGGAGATGAGAGAGAGAAAGAGAAGTAGATGCACACAGAAAGGCGAAGGGGCATAGAAATACGAGTAAGGAAGAAGGATGGGAGAGAAAATCGGATAGCAGACTGGTGATGAAGGTTTGCAAGAGTGTGAATGAACAATTGAGAAATGAGAAAGTCGGTAATGTGTGTGAGAGAGAGAGAGAGAGAGAGCACGACTTGAAAGAAAGATAAAAAGTATGGAGGTATGAGAGTGAGAAAAGGATAGGGGATGATACTCAGGTGTTCAGCTTGTCTTAAGGTCAAGTGTTACCTGACCTGACCTAACCTAACCTGTACGTAGGTGTTAAGGTCAATGATAGGAATTCACTTAATCAGTGAAATAGAAATAAGAATAATGGGAGCTAACTTACAGAAGAAACATAAA